ATGTTAGCAGTAGTATGAACCAGTAAGATCCACACCCTGCATGATATTAATGTTTTGATGAAAACTCTGAACATTTCTGGTAGTAGTAAGAAAAACAAGAGGAAACCTTAAATTTGTTAAGGTTACTCTTAAAGTTGTTAAGAGAAATGGGGGAATAGGAAAAAAAGAGATGAATGAAAAAAAAAAGAGATGAATGGTAATATTAGAGGAATGGGTGCTATAGATATAGAAAAGGTTGGAATGTTACAAGATCTGTTAGAGAAAATAATATAGATTTTGTTGGTATAATGGAAACAGTGAAACATGACTTTTCCCCTAGAATGCCGAGGGGATTAGTGGTCATATATCTTCGTGATGGAACTGGATGCCTGCTTTTGGTAAATCTGGGGTATTCTAGTTGGCATTAATACTGAAAAATTTGATATCTTGGAAGTTAATAGAAAACAAATTCTATGTCAAAGTGAAGCTGATAAATATTACTACCAAGTTTAAATGGGACTTGATAATTTGTGGAGCAGCCTCAAAAGAGGAAAAGAGTGTTTCTTAACGCATTTGGTAAATCTTTTACATCAACAAAAAAAAATCCTTTGGTGATGGGAGGTGATTTTATTATCTTAAGAAAAGAAAGTGAAAAAAAAACAAAGCCGGTGGTTATAACAAATGGAGTTTCATTTTCAATGCAATTATCGAACAAGCTAGTCTCAGAGAACTTTGTTTGGGAGGAAGGCAATTTACTTGGAGTAATAACCAGGACAGCCCAACCCTAGAAAACTTGGACAGAGTTTTTATAAGCAATAAATGGGAGGTTCAATTCCCACTCATTGCTGTTAGATCTTTGCCAAGGGGCTTGTCTGATCATAACCCTCTGATAGTTACCACTGGATAAAACACAATCAGTCATCCCATTTTTAAATTTGAACAGAGCTGGTTCCTTAGGGAAGACTTGAATAAAGTAGTGGAGGAGGTCTGGAACAAGAATTATTCTAGGACCAGTATAGAAAAATGACAGTTGAGGCTTAAAGCCCTTAGGAAAAAAACTAAATGGGTGGAACAAAAACTGGGAAGGCTTATATAGGATCGAAAAGCAGGACATTCTGGAAAGAATTGATGCCATTGACATTAGAGTAGAAAGCATGGGTATGAGTGGTTCTGATAGAGAGGAGAGAAGGGAGCTTGAAAAGAGACTCAAATTTGTTATTAGGGAAGAGAAACTGAAGTGGATTCAAAGGGATCGTAATACTAAGTTCTTCCATGCTAAGGCAAATGGGAGGAAGAGGACGAGTTAGATTCATAGTTTGGTGCATGAAGGATAGATGATTGAAGGACAAGATAAGTTATTGCTTTATATTACAATCTTTTACAAAGATCTCTTTGGACATTCAAAGGAAAACATGTTTTCAATTGATATGGCAAATGTATCTAAGGTGACAGAGGAAGATTTGAAGAAGTTAACCACTCCTGTCACTTTAGAGGAACTCAAAACATTGATTTTTGAAATAAAAAAGAACAAAGCCCCAGGTCCAGATGGAATAACAGGAGAATTTTACATGCATTTTTGGGACTTGGTCAAGCAGGACATGATTGACTTGATAAATGATTTTTTCAAGGGTTTGATAAATATTGATAGATTGAACTTTGGAGTGATTACTTTGATTCCCAAAACAAAAGATGCCTCTCAAATTCAAAAATTTTGTCCCATATGTCTGCTGAATGTAAGCTTTAAGATTATAACTGAAGTCCTCATGAATAGACTCAACACAATCATGGCATACATTATCTCTAAACAACAGACAACTTTTCTGAAAAATCGTTTCATCATGGAATGAGTGGTGATATTACATGTAGTGTTGAATTCAGTACATCAAAAAAAGTAGGGTGAGATCTTGTTTAAAGTTGATTTCGAAAAAGCATATGATAATGTGGACTAGGTCTTTATCTATCAAATGCTAAAAGCAAAGGGATTTCCAGATCAATGGTGTGATTGGAGCATGAAGGTGATTATGGGAGGGAAGGTGGTAGTCAAAGTGAATGAGCAAATTGGTCCTTATTTCAAAACTCACAAAGGGTTAAGGTAGGGAGACCCCCTTTCCCCCCTGCTTTTCAATTTGGCAGCAAAAGCTTTGACTTTGTTACTTCAAAGAGCTGAGGAGAATGGTCTGGTTGAAGGTTTGGGACTAGTGGAGATAACAAAATTGTTGTCTTGCAATATGCAGATGACACAATTTCCTTATTGATGATAATCTGGAGCATGCAAAAAAATTGAAGTGCATCTTTTGTCTGATTGAGCAACTTTCTGAACTTAAGATAAATTTTAACAAAAAGTGAGGTTTTTTTGCTTTGGGGAAGCTATGGAAAAACAACATATATATATATATAGTAATATTTTCACCTGCAATGTGGGTGATTTACCTCTGAAATATTTGGTAATTCCCATTGACCAAAAAAGAATACTAAACCAGGACTAGAAGGTGGCTAAGAACAAAATGGAGCATAAATTGGGTTGCTGGCAAGGTAAGCTGCAATCTATTGGAGGAAGGCTAGTGCTGCTTAATTCAAGTTTAAGCAGTGTTCCTATGTACATGCTCTCTTTTTATGAACTGCCAAAAGGGGTGAAAGATAGGATGGATTACTTCAGGAAAAGATTTCTATGGCAAGAAGATCAAAGTATTAGAAAGTACCATCTAGTTAATTGGCCCCTAGTTTGTTCACCAAGAGACCAAGGAGGTCTTGGGGTGATTGATTTGGAAGCAATGAACAAAGCTTTGGTGGGAAACTGGATCTGGAAACTAGGTGAAACCCCGCGTATCGCTGCGGGAATTTAGTATGATAACAGCAAAAATAATAACGTGTAAGATAACTAGATAACATCAGATTAAGTAAATTAATGTGGTTTATGATAATTTAAATTTAAATAGTATGTGGAATGGTGATTCAAACGTAAAAAGTAAGGTGGTATGACTTTATGGAAGAAGAAAAGTAGGGAGATAGTTTGGACCGTAGATTAATCATCTAAAGGCTAAAAACAATTGATGTGATATGACTTAATTAGAGGAAAAAAGGAGAAAGATAATTTGGACCATAGATTAATCATTTAAGTACTAACTAAGTGAGGATGAACTATATAAGTATATAGGATATCATAAAACATAATAAAGATATACATTAAAATATTATGTGAATTATGTTGGATGATAATTTAACATGTTTGTATTTGAAAAGCTCTTAAATTATAAAAACTACTCCCTCTGTTTCACAATGTAAGTCATTCTAACATTTTCTACATTCATACTGATGTTAATGAATCTAGACATATATATCTATCTAGATTCATTAACAACAATATGAATATGAAAAATACTAGAATGACTTACATTGTGAAACGGAGGAAGTATAAAGATATAGCATGTTTGCATGATGTTTAAATGTGATGATTGTTAGTGTATGATGATGTGGCATCTTGTTAATTAGTGGATGATGATGTGGCATCTTGTTAGTGGATGATGATGTGACATCTTTGATGTTAAGCTTAAGGAGTTAGCGGGGGATAACTTTATAGTAAGATAGGATTAGAGAACGAAGAGGGTTGGTGGCAAGAGATCAATATTGAGAAATATTACAAAAACAAACCACTATCAGGTCTGAAACTCAAACCTGGTAATTCACATTTTTGGGAAGGGATTATGGAGGTGAAAGATGTTTCTTCAGTCTGTGCATAAAAAAAGTGGGAAATGGAGAAAATACTCTTTTTGGGAAGATAGTTAGATAGGTGGTAGACCTTTGGCCTTGCAATTCCCTAAGATTTATAACATAGCCTTGATAAAAAAATCACCATTGCAGACTTGAACAAAAAGGGCATTGGTTCTAAAAAATGCAGAAGGGATCTGTATGGAGCCAAACTGAGAGATTGGAGAAAAATTACACACGGGTGGGAAGAGTTGAATTTGAAAGAAAATTATAAAGACAAACTGTGGTGGAACTTGTCCAAAGATGGGAAATTCACTGTGAAATCTTTCTATAATGCACTTAAAATGAAGCAGGTGAATTACCCTCATAAAAAAAATCTGGAAGTTCAAAATACCTTTGAAAATCAAAGTGTTACTTTGGCTCTTTACCAATAATAAATTTTTGACAAAAGACAATCTTTTCAAGAGGGGCTGGAGGAAAGGTGATAATAAATGACAGTTTTGTGATAAGGAAGAAACAATTCAACACCTTTTCTTTATTTGCCATGGCTAGATTGATTTGGAATATAATCGCTTGTGCTCTAAATTTGAAACCTGTTTTGAACAGGCAGGAACTGTTTGGTTTCTGGATTAAGAATGCTGACAAATTCACAAAAAATCTCATTGTGGTTGGGATAGCTGCCGTGATATGGTCTATATGGAAATGTAGAAATAAAGCTTGCTTGGAGAAAAAACTTCAAAATGATCCCACTAATTTAATTCACATGGCCTGCAATTGGGTGGATGCATGGTAAATTTTGTAGAAGCAGGAAGCAAGCCAAAGAAGTTTGCAGCTGGGAGCCAGGCTGCTAAAACAAGTAGCAGATGAAGTCTACAACTCAAGACATGGCTGGCCAGGAGGAGTACATAGGATCGCAGGATGATGAAGACAGAAGGAGGCCTATGCAAGTTGCTGTCTGATGTCCGTTTTGTGATGTTTTCTGCTCAAGAAGGGCATGGATGCCTGCTTATGTTTGCTGTTGTGGGTCCTAGTTTTGTTTTGACAAGCTTGTAATGGTTCAGGGGTAGTGTTTCGTTTGTGGAATCTTCTGAACTATGGGCCGGCAGAATCTGGAGTGACCCTCATGTTTAGTTTCTAATCTTTTTTCTCTTTGCTTTTGTAAAGACTGCTGTTACTAGCCTAACATTTCTAGTAAAAGAAACGGGAGCCTTCTGTCTCTAGTTAAAAAAAAAAATCAACTCCGAGTTGGAGTCGGACTACGATTACATACTCCGATTCCCTCAACACTTTGCGCAGTATATATTCAGTTATTCACAATGAGTTCACTAGCGCTTTCTCTTCTGCGCTCTGCTGCTGCTGCTGCTGCTCTCAGGGCGGTGAACCGCAAACGATCGGCGCTGGAGCAAGACGACGCGACCATCGGTGGCGACAAGAAGCGGCTACGGCTAGGCTCCATCTACGACTACAGGAAGCTCGCCGTGCTGGGCGAAGGCAGGGACGGCGTCGTGTTCAAGGCCGAGCACCTCCGCACCGGCGACATGGTCGCCATCAAGTGGGTGCGCGCCGCCGCCGACCACCGCGCCTTCATCCGCGAGGTCGGCTGCCTCGCCGCCTGCCGCAGCCACCGCAACATCGTCGAGGTCCGCGACGTGGTCGAGGACGCCAACACCAGGGACATGTTCATCGTCATGGACTTCGTCGGCGGCCGCACCCTCCACCTCGACCTCTGGATGACCCATCCCGACCCTGAGGAGAAAGCCCGCTTGGTGATGCGCGACCTCGTCGCCGCCGCCGGGGCGCTGCGCGCTGCCGGCGTCATGCACCGCAACATCAAGCCCGACAACGTCCTCGTCACGTACGGCGGCGGGCTCAAGCTCTGCGACTTCGTCCGCTCCTCCCAACGTCCTCGTACACTTTTTTTTTGCTCCAAAGAAGATTTTGCTGGCAGGTCTCATAACAATGCTGCCAACGAAAACCAATTTTCGTTGATGGCTGTCTTAGCTTGCAACAAGAGAAAATCATTTTCGTTGGCACGCACCTGGCTGTCTAGCACAAAACGCACTCTGGCTGTATCGTCGGCCACCAGCGAAAACCCATTTTCTGTTAACAAATTAAAATCATTTTTTATAGTATATCATTCCACTAAATGTGATTATCATATCTATATTTATGTTATCGTACTTAATTGATAATGACGTTAGCATGTAATAAGTATTCCCTCCATCCCAGAATATTAAGAAGTTTTAGAGTTGGACACAGTGGTTACTAAGAAAGTAGGTAGAAGTGAATAGAAGAGGGTTATGTTTGGCTGTAGGTGGAAAAAGTGAATGGAGTAGGGTTATGATTAGTTAGGAAGAGAATATTGATAGAGAAGTTGTTATATTTTGGGACAAATGCCGAGGGTTAAAAGTTGTTATATTTTTGGACGGAGGGAGTATTTCATTAGTTGAACCATATATTAGTCACCCTTTCCAACGGTCTAGCTACAATTCAATCTGAACCACATTTCATGTATCTAACATAGTTAATTTTATCATCCTTAAAACGATACTAAGACGTACCATATTTCCTAGTGTAAATTTTGATACTCCCTCTACTCTAAAATATAAGTATTTTTGGACTTTAACACAGTCTTCGAGATGCTATTTTGATTAACAATATCTATAAAAATGAGATGTTTTAAATAAAAAGAGTACATATTATGATAGTTTTTTTTAATAATAAATCTAGTAATATCAAATTTACATGATTGATCTTTTTATTATTTTTACTATTAATAATTAAAGTTAAAAATGTTTGACTTAACACTATAAAAAATATTTATATTTCGAGATGGAGCGAGTAAGTTCTCAGAGGACCTTAAAATTTCTCATCACGGAGACTACCGGAACAAGGTTGTGGGCCACGTGCATGATCAACTACACACTGCTAATTCGCGTATAACTCACGCGCACTGCCACGTGTTAGGCTGCAGAGCGAACCCCGTCGTGCTCCCATCACTAATCATGGCGATTAGCGTTAATTACGGTGATTAGAGTTAATCACTGATTCGAGAAAGCTAATTCGCGCGCGAGGCGGAGTGGTTAGAGTGTTTTTTGCGGTTTCTTTTTTTCTTTTCGGGATTTTTTTACGGAGACGTGTAACTAATCCGATTAGTTTTAGATAATGACGATAATTAAGGTAAGATTTGTAGATTTGTTTTTTTTAAGATTTTTTAAGTAACAGATTGAAAAGAAATCTTATACGTGAAATCAAATTTTAAAAACTTTCAACCCATATTTTAAAACTTTCAACTCGAAATTTAAATTTGTTTGGAGTCAAATTTTGAAAACTATCAACTTTTCATCTGAAAGTTGAAAAAATTTCAACTCAAATTTAAAACTTTCAATCCATATTTGAAAACTTTCAACTTGAAATTTAAATTTGTTTGGAGTCAAATTTGAAAACTTTCAACTTTTCACCTCAAATTTGAAAAACTTTCAACTCAAATTTAAAACTGTCAATCCAGATTTGAAAACTTTCAACTCGAAATTTAAATTTGTTTGGAGTCAAAATTTGCATCTCAAATTTAAAAAACTTTCAACACAAATTTAAAACTTTCAATCAAGATTTGAAAACTTTCAATCCAGATTTGAAAACTTTCAACTCAAATTTAAAACTATATTTGAAAACTTTCAACCCAAATTTGAAAACTTTCAACCCAGATTTGAAAACTTTCAACACAAAATTTTAAAACTTTCAAGTCAAGATTTGAAATCTTTCATGTCAAAATTAAAAACTTTCAATTCTAGATTTGTAAAGAGGTGTGCGAAATATTGAAAAAAATCAGAAAGAAATGGCGAAAAAAAGGAAAAACGTTTGCGCCACAATAAAAAAAATGCAAACAGAAAAAAAAAGGAAATAACCTTTATGTAGAAAGGAAAATAGAATGGTCACCGTAATTCTGATCGTGATTAGTTTGATTACGCTAATTAATTTGATCCTATATGCTGCCCATACGAACGTGTACGTGTCCCCACCTTCCTGCACTGCGAAGCGCCGAAGCTGCGTTATCGTATGCTGGGCTGGACCTAAACCGCGCGCGACTTCGTTCGCTGGCGCAAGCGCGGGCAATAGGAAATTCGTGGTCAACTGTTCCCGGGCTCTGCTTGACGGCATCACTCCGAGTCGGAGTCGGAGTCGGACTACCATTACATACTCCGATTCCGACGACACTTTGCTCAGTATATATTCAGTTAGTTATTCACGACGAATTCAGTGATCTGCTTTCTCTTCTGCTCTGCTGCTGCTGCTCTCTCATGGCGGCGACCCGCAACCGCAAGCGATCGGCGCCGGAGCAAGACGACGCGACCACCGGTGGCGTCAAGAAGCGGCTACGGCTAGGCTCCATCTACGACTACAGGAAGCTCACCGTGCTGGGCGAAGGCCGGGACGGCGTCGTGTTCAAGGCCGAGCACCTCCGCACCGGCGACATGGTCGCCATCAAGTGGGTGCGCGCCGCCGCCGACCAGCGCGCCTTCATCCGCGAGGTCGGCTGCCTCGCCACGTGCCGCGGCCACCGCAACATCGTCGTGGTCCGCGACGTGGTCGAGGACGCCAGCACCGGGGACATGTTCATCGTCACGGACTTCGTCGGCGGCCGCACCCTCCGCCTCGACCTCTGGATGGCCCATCCCGACCCCGAGGAGAGAGCCCGCTCGGTGATGCGCGACCTCGTCGCCGCCGCCGGGGCGCTGCACGCCGCCGGCGTCATGCACCGCGACATCAAGCCGGACAACATCCTCGTCGTGAACGGCGGCGGGCTCAAGCTGTGCGACTTCGGGTCGGCCACGCCGGTGAAGCCGCCGGGGAAGCCGTACGAGGAGTCGCGGGTCGGCACGCTGCTCTACACCTCGCCGGAGCAGCTCGCCGACAGCGAGTTCTACGACCCAGCGGTGGACATGTGGGCGCTTGGGTGCATCATGGCCGAGATCCTCACCGGCGGGCCGCTGTTCGACGACTCGTCGGAGGAGAGGATGCTCAAGGAGATGGCCGACATGCGACACCGGCTCGAGTCCACGGGGACATGCAAGCTGTTCGACGAGCTGCCGGAGTTGTCGGCGGCCGGGCGTGAGGTCCTCGCTGGGATGCTGGCCTTCAACCCCGACGAGAGGATGACGGCGGCGGAGGCGCTGGACCACCGGTGGTTCACCGGCAAGCCGGAGAGGCGATCATAACTGTAGTTGACACGTGTAGCTCGCATGCACTTGTCTGTGTGTAACTCTTGTGTAATGATTCATGCTGAAACAAGAAGATTCTTTTGTTGAATTGTTGTAATTAAGCATATTTAATTGCTGAAACAAATGAAACAACCGATCTTTTCAAATAATTTATCGATCCAGTTTCAACAGTAATTCATGTGTATACCTTTAATCAAACTAATAAATAGTGTTCGTAGCGCCAACAATAACACCTACTATAGTGGTAACGGACCTCTACCGCTACCGCTACAAGATATAGCTCATTGGAACTTAGTGGCCGCTATAGCGCTTCACAACCGCTATAGCACCCTGCTATAGCGCTTCGCAACCGCTATAGCACCCTGCTATTGATTTTGTTAGATTGCTATAATGCATAAACAATGTACTTGACATATGGATAGAATAACTTAGCATTGTGTGCCTTCTTTATCTTATACATTTATGTGTTATTTCATAATTTTAATGTTATGAAATGTAGGAGCAATTAAATAGACAGTCTAAATTTTAAATTTTAAGTGAAACTTGATGTTAATATTGATATACAATATAAATTTATGGTTATTTTTCTTAATTCTGCTATTGGAACTTAGCGTTCGCAATAGCGCCTGCTATCTTTGCAATCCGTTACCCAAACACTAATCCGCTATCAACCTGCTATACGCTATTTATTACTTGACCTTTATCACATACTCCCTTCGTTTCAGGTTATAAGACGGTTTTATTTTGGTTAAAGTTAAATTGTTTTAAGTTTGACTATGTTTATAGAAAAAAAATATAGTAGTATTTATAATAGGTATTCTATGCCCCCACCTCTCAACACTCCCCATCCCACCCGCGCGCGTGATGCCTCCTGCCCTGCGCCTCCTTCCCCTAACGCGCGCGCTTTGTCAGCCCGCTCGTGCCGGATCAGGATCCCTGTGCAGTTGTTATTATAACTGCAACTTAAGCAGTTATATGTGCATCACACGATACTGAATTAAAGGTCCGGATAAACAGCAGTACTGTAGCATTCATCCAAAGCCGTTGGATCAGAAAACGAATGGCCAAGATTGTGTGCAGTTACAATAGCAACTGCATTTGATCTCAATCCGCTCGCGCCTCCCTCCACTCGCACGTGCTCTCCCCCTCCCCGATCGAGAGATCGATCTCTGTTATCCCTCCCTCTCACGATCTCTCTCTTCTCCCTTCCTTCTCTTCTTTTCTTCTTTTCTTTTCCTTCCTTCCGCGATTGATCTCCTCGATCTTCCCTGTGCCACTGTCTCTCACGATCTCTCTCTCATCCCTGGCTTCTCTTATGCAGCTAATAAGATTTGAGCACTAGACCCTTTAACTAAATTACCACAAGTATTAACCACTAAGCTACACCTCACTTTATGATACATAAACTTTAGTGGAATATTATCTTCTTAATTCAAATCTTATGATGCTAATCCTCGTGACACTTGGCACAATATGCAAATAGTTGTTACTGTCAATCGCAAATTGTTTTACTATACGATCTGTTATTGTGTTACTATAGCATTACCATAAAAGTGGGTTTTTCTCTCCTCTAGGAAACAAAAATTTCCTCCTTCATGGCTTGCATACGTCTACCCATGTCATTCACGACAAAGAAAAGAAAAGAAATCATTAAGAAGAATTGAACTCTAGACCTCCCTTTAAGCGCATAGGAATCACCACCACACTATAGCTATTCCGTATATCCGTACGTTACTACCGATACTACTCTGTGTTACTACACCATAGTAGTAACAACGTGTGAAATAAATATAGTAACCATATACCTAATGTGTACTTTCTCCGTTTCATATTATAAGACTTTCTAGTATTGCCCACATTCATATATGTGTTAATGAATCTAGACATATATGTATGCCTAGATTCAATAATATCTTTATGATTATGGGCAATGCTAGAAAGTCTTATAACTTGAAACGGAGGGAGTAGTAAAAAGTAAATGTCTACTCTATGCCATTGTAAACTATGTGTACAATCACATCCCTTCGGAATAATTATTCTACACCTCCTGGCTCCTCCAAATTGTTTGATCTATCATATCCTCGACTCATGCCTTAGTTCGCATGGTGCTCCTCCTCGACCACAAGCGAAACCGCGCCTTCCTTCCCTCCACCATAAAAGAAAAAGAACGATAATAGCTTATGAACAATTACACTACAACAAGGCATTAAGATATATAACCTCTTCTATATCTTAGCTCCATTGCATAGCACACTATATATACACAAATCACCCTGTTTATGTCCACATTACTGCATGATCCATCCTGTGTTACCGCAGAACATGATATGTGTTACTATACTAGGTTGACATGTAGTAACGAGCTATATTATTACGAGTGAATATGTGTCTTACCGCGGAACATGAAATATGTTACTACATGAATATATGTTTTACTGTAGAACAAATAGGACATTACTGCACTTTTGGCAGTAACATCGTGGTGAAATTGTAGTAAACTAGGAACCGAAACAAAAATATATGGATTAAAAATCTCACATGCTAAATGTACTTGTTACTACACAAAAGTTAAAGTGTTACTGCATGGCAAGTACACGTTACCACATGTTTATGCAATAACACTGTCTAAAAACTGCAGTATGACACATTACTGCAAAACGTATAGTCTTTACTAGACTCTTACAGTAATGTCGCGATAGGATTGTAGTAACGTACAATAGACAGCAGTAACAAGTAATACTAGTTTTGAAAAGGCCTAGCTTTGAAAAACAATATGTCTCATGTGATGTAATATTGTTTTATGACCGTTTGCGTCATGATGCTAGAAAAAAAGTGCTTATCAAAAGTAGATCCATCATGACTATATTTTAACTATATTTGAGAGTTGTTACTACACATAAGACATAGTGTTACTGCACAGTGGCCATTGTGTTATTGTACCTTTCTACGACACGAGAGCTGAGAAGAGGTGGGTGGTGGGGGGGTGTTAGTAGGCGGATTGACCGAGGTTTGACTGGTGTGTGGACGTTTTAACCGACCTTTGACTGAGTTGGGAAGTGGGTTTTGGGCTCTTAGAACAGAGGGAAGGTGGGTTTAGCCCTTGGGATGGGAGGGTGGTATAGAATAATTCTATACCGCAGGTGTAGAATAGTTTTGCTGTATTTATAATACTAAATTAGTTTCATCAAATTAATAATTGAATATATTTTCATAATAAATGTCTTGTGCTGAAAATGTTACTATTTTTTTCTATGAACATGGTCAAACTTAAAGCAATTTGATTTTGATCAAAGTTAAAACATCTTATAACCTGAAACGGAGGGAGTAATATATTTTTAGTTGGACATAAACTAAACAATGGTCATTAATATGGTGTTTTTATTCTTACTCATTAGGAAAAAATTGCTGATAAGATGGGAGACAAAAATCGTTGCTATGGTTACCACGGCTCAATTAACATTACATAGCCTCTAAAGAATGGTAAGTTCCTTGCATGATTGTGGGAAAAATAGTAATAAAGATTTTTTTAGCTTAATGATCAGAGCATGACAAATCATAAACCGGGACAAAAAAATAAACACCAACCAGGACTAAATATCATAAAGTCCCGTTGCACTTTTTAATGGGGAGTCCCGGTTCCTATTTAAACAGGCACTAATGTGATTTTGCCATCCAGGCAAAGATCACTTCCCCATTAGTGTCGTCTTAACCGTCGTAAATGCGATTATTTTTGTTTTTTAAACCTTTTTTATTTTTAATTTTAAAGATAAACCTTTTCAAAAATTATTTTCAAGATATGAAAAATTTAGCCACGTAAGCTGAATTGACATGGCAAAACAATACTGTCATGCTGGTCCCACTAACGTGGCAACATTATTTAACCACGCCACTTTGACATGGCAGAACAAAGCTGTCACATCCGCTGCAGGTGACGTATCAGTGTTGTTTTGCTACGCCAGACGGGCTAGCGTGGCCACAAGAATCAGATTTTGAACAATAAGTTTTGCAATTTTTAATTTTTCTATTACTATTATAAAAATTGAAGATGTTTCCGCGGTCCGTCATCCGTGTTTGAGTCAGTTATAAAAATTGAAGATGTTTTCGCGGTTCATCATCCATGTTTGAGTCGGTTATAAAAATTGAAGATGTTTCTGCAGTTCATCATCCGTGTTTGAGTCAGTTTCAATTTTATGTGTTGGTTTTAATCTATATCTCTTCTTTACTATTATAAAAATTGAAGATGTTTTTGCTGGTATTTTAGTACGTTATCTGTGTATGAGTCAATTTTTAATATCATTTGCTTTTGGAAATACATATCCGTATTTGACTCGGTTTTAAAGATCGTTCACTTTTGGTAATACAGAAGGAATCATATAAGAAATCTGTTTAAAAAAACTCGCATGCTAACTTGAAATGATTAGACTCCTAACTGCAGCTCATGATTTTCTAAATATGCGAACTCCCACAGTGAATTTCATCTTAACTAAACCATATAACAATAAAAATATTAAAATAGACTTCACCTGTAGCAATGCACGGATATTTTTTCTAGTATAATTAAAAATTTAAATGGTTAGAAAATTCCATAAAAGCATGGTATTTAAGTAAACGTGTATTATCTAAGGTAATGTTCAAAGGCAAAGACTCTTACAACAATTGAGACCCATAAAGGCTCCAATAATATGCACCAAAATATTTTTTAAACCTTTTTGTTCATTTCCTCATCCTCATACAACGAAGTTTCCATAAACGTTAAGAGTCTATGTTAAGTCGCTGTTAAGCTTAACATGGATGTTTCTCTCATCTCCCCTCTCTCTTCCATGTCATTAAATTAACTTACCAAGCTTGTTAAGAACATAAGAGAAACTGCTATTAATTGCTACTGAACATGTCTGAGCTCTACCTTTCATCGATCGTTAACTTACCAAGCTTGTTAAGAACATAAGAGAAACTGCTATTAATTGGTACTGGACATGTCTGAGCTCTACCTTTCATCG